CTCCACCTGGCAGGTGTAGGTGACCCCGCGCCGGGGGGGCATTTCCAGCATCACCAGCACCTGGTAGGTCCAGTCCCCGTTGGGGACCACGTCGGTGGCCACCACGTGCTCCGGCAGCTCCTGCCCATCCTGGAACCACCTCACCTGCACCGGCGCAGGGTAGAAATCCATCACGGAGCAGAGCAGGCGGCCAGGACCGGGCTGGGAGCTCGACGGCACCAGTGAGATGGACACGCTGGGGGGCACTGGGAGAGACGGGGGAGATACTGGCATGATCTGGGGGGCACTGGAGAGAGGGCTTGTAGGACATTGGTAGGGACTGCGATGGCACTGGGAGGGACTCGTAGTACACTGGGGTACAGGGAGAAGGGCTGGGAGAGAGCTGGGCTATGTGAGAGTGGACTGAGAAGGACTGGAAATGTACTGAGAGGATGTGGGGATGACTGGAATGGTCTAGAAGGCATTGGGAATGACTAGGAATGGACTCAGAGGCTCTGAAAATGACTGGGATGGTCCGGGAGGGACTGGGAATGGACTGAGAAGGACCCCGGCGGGGTTGAGAATGCTGGGGGCAATTGACGCCGCTGGTCTGCCTGGCAACTGATGAGTCATCAGAGAGGCGCGCTCTGATTGGCTGAGGGGCGTTAGAGCTCGATGGCACTGCTGAGATGGAAACGGGGGCACACTGGGAGAGACTGGGATGGACTGGGAGAGACTGGGAGGCACTGAGAGAGAGGGGCAAGGGGTGGCGATGGGAAAAAAGGCCACGGCGATGGGCAGTGGAAGGGTTGAGGGGTCTGGGGTGGAACCAGGGAGGGTTTGAGGGGCTCCAGGGTCATTCCCGGGGCAGGGCCGAGGGGACCCGCTCTGCCCCGCACTCACCTCTGCGGTTCACCAGGAAGCGTTTCGATAATTTGTAGTTGGGCCAACAGAACATGTTCGCCTGAGCTCTCGTCTCCTCCAGCCAGTTCGAGTTGCTGTTCCAGATCCTGGCAATCTCCTCCCCATGTGGGGTGTCCCCCACTAAGACCCCCACATCGCTGTCGAAGTGGACGTACTGCTGCCGGTTGTAGATGGATCTCTCCACGAACCTGACGCGGTCGGTGCCGTTGATGAAGTGACACTCACTCGTGGACAACTCCAGGAACACTCCTGTATGTGCAGGTCACAGATCAGGGGGTGTCCCCCCTACCCCAGCAGCTCCCAGCACCAACAGCACGTGGGAGCTCAGGGGGCCACCTGGGATCCCCTTTCCCACCCCCCTCTCCCCCACGGCAGCCGCAGCACCGGCTCTTGGCTGGGAGGGAACCCCCCCATCAGCCTCCCAGGGATAGACAGGAGGGTTGGGGACCCCCTCAGTGCGGATCCGACCCCCCCC